GCTTTTGTCTCCCTATTCCACTCCGAACCTCATATCGAGGTTTCTGATTTGTGAATCAAGCTGGCTGCCTCCTGTGCTTTAATTTCCCTCCAGCATGTGAGAAATCAGATCAGTCTTCTAGTCCTACTAGCTGTGGATCAGTATCGTTTGTAATTCTACCCACCATCCTTCGGGTAAGCCCACAGCACTACGATGCCACTATCTGGAATTAGCAATCTATAAAACACAAAGTAAACACACATGGGAGCTCCTTCCTTCCTTCCTCTGACCTAATCGAAACACAACAAGAAGAGATTATAAAATTAACCAGACAGGGTTAATTAATCAGTTTTCAATTTTGCAGAATAAACTTAGTTAAGGCTAATGTGTTCCTGATGTCTGGTCTGCTGACTAGACATTAGCCGTTTGTTGTTGGGACATTAACTAACAGAACACATGGTGGAATACAGGTAATTATAAAGGGAAATGGCATTCCTATCAAGTGGAATCAAATGATGTGAGCTTTCAGTGATGACAGTGTGGGTCTGACTCATGAATTAATTTATTATTGGTTGACCTTTGTAGATCGAGGACTTGGCTGTGACGTGCCTGACTGCTAATTAGTGTGTTTCTAGTAATTAAACCATGTCTTATGTACTATCATTAAATCAAGTTGGTATACACACTGATTGCTGATGTCTTAATGGAACATTATTATATATTGTGGTTCCAAATGTCCTAAAAATGAAAGTACTGTGTTAATGGCTTGGTTTCACTGTGTTGTCTACATTGGCCACCATGGAAAAATGTATTCCCCCGGCAAACATGCTAGTGGTAGTGCGATGGCCTTCGGCTGCTTTACTGCTTTTGGATAGCTACTTTTACTTAATAAATTAAAGCAACATTGAAAAATTGCAATTTGTTATTTATGTGGGTTAGCTCTGGCTAATATTAAAATTTGTTTAGCAATCTGAAACATTTAAGTTTGATAAATATGTCCCCCCCCCCCACCAGTGTTTCCTGTTCTGACTTGTTCAAATATTATTCACATTTTCTGGGCAGTAGCACCTCTCATTTAGGACAAAGCTGCAGCAAATCAAGTGCTCTTCTGCCAGTTTCACAATTACCCAGCTAAGAATAAATTAGCAACACAGTATGTTGGTTAGCACTGTTACATGATGGCAAAAAGGTTCTTATTTAAATAGTTGGGGCCTTGTTGTGTAAAGTTATTCACCCATGCTTGCATAGGTTTTGGCCCAAAGCAGGAGCGATCTTTTTCCATTTGCATTCCACAATTCATTTGGGTGCACGCTGGAATATTACCTTCAAAAGCAAACAATATTAGTTAAATGGCCTTTGGAGTGTCTAAGAATAAATTTAAATGAATAATCTCACGTTTCAATATAATACAGCGTTTTTTGTCTCAAATCTGAGTCAAAGGAGCTTGCAAAGAAAAGCGTCTGGACTTCTTTAAGTTGCTTGAAGACGTTTCACCTCTCATCCGAGAAGCTTCTTCAGTTCTAAGGTCAAATGGTGGAGAGTCCAAGATATAAACCTAGTGGGAGTATCCCCCCACAGAGGGACAAAAGGACCCCCTGCTGATCCTCTAATCGCCTGAGCCAAGGTGTGAAACAGGGTGTGGGTCCCAATCAGCCAGAGTTTCGGGTGAGTTCATTGTGAAACCTGGCCCCACCTTATCATGCGAGTTCCTGAGATCAGATGGCCCAGGATGTGAGTGGGCGTTAAGGCGTCTGGGGAGGGATCTCAAAACTGGATTATAGATGGCAGAGAGTTGGTGTCGTAAACCCCCGCCTCTGTTCAAAGATGGTCGCTCACAGTGGACATAGATGGCTTCTTTCACTCCTCTTTCAAACCATCTGTCCTCTCTGTCCAAAATGTGAACATTGGCATCCTCGAAAGAGTGACCTTTATCCTTAAGATGCAGATGGACTGCTGAGTCTTGTCCTGTGGAGGTGGCTCTTCTGTGTTGTGCCATGCGCTTGTGAAGTGGCTGTTTGGTCTCTCCAATGTAGAGGTCTGGGCATTCCTCGCTGCACTGTACAGCATACACCACATTGTTAAGTCTGTGTTTTGGCGTTTTGTCTTTCGGGTGAACCAGTTTTTGTCTGAGCGCGTTGCTGGGTCTGAAATGCACCGGGATGTCATGCTTGGAGAAAACTCTCCTGCCTCAAATCTGAGGCAAAGGCTCAATATATGACTTGCAGAATTTTCCAAAATATGTTAAAGATTTTTGCACTTGTTCTCAGGCTGTATTTAGTCTGCCTCAGTGGTTTCAACTTGGTTAAACAGATGTTTGAACAGGCCTCAGGGGGTAGCCCAATAAAATCACTGTGGCCCCTCAATTGAATTCTATTGATACACTGTAACTATGAGTTAGATTAAACCATATAATTTGGTAATGAAAACTAGCAAACTCAATTTAGTAATTTACTTCACAGTTATTTAGTACTTCTGCAGTGATCATGGGCCTGTGCAGGTCAGACTTTTTCCCTCTCAAACAAGGGCATTCATCTCCCCGCTTTGTCCTGACCGTCTTCTGCTTTACCAGGACAGATATTTTAGCACCTTTATAACATAGCATATATGGTTGTACGTTGCATCCAAAAGTAAGAGAGCTGATCATAAACAAAGCAGAAGGTCTTGGTATGTAGTTTTAGCTGCCATATTCGACTCTGTTCTCTACATCTGGAACCCATCCACATACTGCATATAAAAAGTGTGTGTGTGTGTGTGTGTGTGTGTGTGTGTGTGTGTGTGTGTGTGTGTGTGTGTGTGTGTGTGTGTGTGAAAAGTTACAAATCTGGTTGCTCAGAATACTTGGTAGATGAGATGTTTATTTACACAAGCCATAAAACACACACACAAGCTTGTGCGCTCAGTGCATTCAATTTCATGTACAGTACTTAATTACAGAAAAATCCAGGTAGGTAGCATTCAGGTTTGACATTACATTTGCTGTCTGTCACACAAGCCGATACATATCACAGGCACACTGACGCAAAGACTCACATACACACGCTCATTCTCAAAATCACAAGAGAACACATTGGCATTAGTGCACACAGAAAGAACACATTACCACTGACAGGAAGCAGTAAGTCTCTGTCGTAAACACTGAACATATTGAGCCTGAGCTAAGAATCAACAACATACCAGCAGAGGCAATAAACTGCAGATTTTAACAACACAACGGGCAATTCTCACAGTGATGCTCACTGAATCTTCTGGCCTTTACCACACATTTCTGTGAACATTTTTCCACTTTGTACTCATTTGAGCACCAAACTATTTCAATTCCTAAACCCAGTCTCGTCAGTGGGAGAGTTTTCCCTTTTTTTGAGAGATAATGGCAGGAGAGCAGGCAGAAGTTTGCAGTAGCTTTATTTTATTCCCCAGGGTTCCTTTAAGAGAAAGATATTGTGTAATTCAACCACATATAACTTTTTATCCCATTGAAAGTCTGCAAAAAAACAAAGTGGAGAATACTACCCACATTTTCCAAGAAAATCAGTAGTCATCTGATTTCAGCTGATTTGCTAAAAGTGACATCACTGTTGTGTAATGGTGGGTGGCTGATCAGTAAAGTGCGTGAGCTGTGTAGGCTAACTGCAAAATGATTAATGCGGGGTACAATTCTTAAGGAGCTGAAAGGAAACTTACATTGGAAACCTTTGCTTTATCAGCTGAATTTCTAAGAGGATCTTAGCTGTGAGCCCTAATTTAGAAAGATGTCTTGTTTCAACACCAGATTGTTACTGTAGGAGACACCCTTCAGTTACAGGCTACTTCAGTTACAGTAAAGTTTTATTCAACCGTATTTCAGTCAGAACCACTATAGTCAAAAGTTATAGAAGGGGATTAGGGCTACAGGAAAAAAAACAAAAAAATGGGGATGTCTTTTTTTTTTTAATCACTTTTTTCACAGAACTCTTGGAGGGGGGGAGACCTCCCCGCTTTTTTACCCCCAATGCCCTTATCCTCTTCTGTAAAAAGTTTTATGCATAAATTAGAAAATGTGTGTCAACGTTAGATAGAAAGAACTTTGAGAAGCACAGAAAAACTGCTTGTGTGAATGAGGCAAGTTTATAACATTTAAATGGACTGTTTTTTCTCTACCTGAACACTCAAAGCACCTTTCCATTTAAAGTTACAGTCTTTCCACACTATAAAAATAAAGATAAATTCAAAGAAATCATTAAACGCCCCAAACTATGAAATTCATGTCCATGAAACTTCTGAACACAACTGTTTATGGAAAGCTAGAAGATGACCCCAAATAGGACATAGCAAACACAAATAAAACAAAAATCACATCATCGGCTTAGAAGGTGGAGTTGGGTAGAGATGAGTTGGATACATAGCAACTTTAGCCAGACTAAAACCCAATAAATGGCGTGGCGTGGTTCATATTCGCCAAACAGGTGTGTAAAAGGGTATCATCTCAAACCAGCTGATGTAGATGTAGGGCTAAAGCTCAAGACTTCAGATATTTGTTGTGTAAATATTTATAATGAAAACTTTGAGACAGGATTTATAAATGGCCACTGCATATTCTTTGTATTGTGCATAAAGATGCATTTGCACGTGTATTTAGTGAACTGCTGCCAATAACTGTTTGCCATTACAGTGATAAATACTGAATGTAATCAGCCATTTCTTTACAAATCACGCAGCTGACATAATTTAATCTACAGTATCACTTAAGGCAGAAAAGGTATGTTTATGCTATAATAGTTAACATATAAACCTACCTGGTCTGGAAAATTAACTTGATCACATTATTTTTAATTTATTTAGCTTGTGGGGATAGGTTAATTGGAAAATCCAAATTGCCATTAAGTGTGAATGTGAGTGTGAATGCTTGTCTGTCCCTGTGTGTTGGCCCTGCGACAGACTGGCGACCTGTCCAGGGTGTACCCCGCCTCTCGCCCTATGACAGCTGGGATAGGCTCCAGCGCCCCCCGCGACCCTGAAAAGGATAAGCGGAAGCGAATGGATGGATGGATGGATGGACATTATTTTTAATTATTTTGTCATTAATAAGACCCACTTTAAAAAGTACCCTAAGTTCATAAAGTGCATCAAAAGCATTACAATAACAGCCACGTGTCATGAGATTATTGATCCGCTTTTCCTTAACAGTTTAAGAAGCTTAAATCAAAATACATTTGCACATGAAACCTTGTTGTTAATAACATGGTAGTGTATCCTGTATACTACACACTATACATAAAAAATAAATACTGTAGCTCTCTACCTTTTTTGGTTAAAAGATAGCTTAATCTAAGACTCTGTAGGCATCCTGCCCTTGGACTTTTCTAACATCAATCTGGCAGCCTAGATTAAAGTACGAGGTTTAGACTCTCAGGGTTGATAAGAGAAGTATCAAAATACCAGTGATCAATATTTGTAACGCACTTGCAGATTGTCTATGACATCACTGCCAAACTTTAGATATTTCCTTTCCCATCAGCAGCCATTTTTCTTTCATTCATAAAGAATGCAAGTCATGAGGGAGACAAAATCTCCGGAGAAGTCAGTGTGCATTTAGCTGAAATGCTAGAAGTGTATGGAAATGCCCAGTGATTGGCAAGAGACGGCCCGAAACTGATAAGGCTGCTTAGAAGTTCTTATCAGCTTGATGGCATGGACCATTACCCAAAAGAAACACTGCTGTGACCCAGCAAACTTCTGCAGCTTCGGTGCTCAGGTAGGACAGCGCACAGTCTACTTTCATGTCCAGTAAACATAAATATCAAGTGATGGCAAAGCACTGCTGCAGTCACATATTTTTTACTGAATCAATTTGCTCCGTGTACAGCGTTGGCCGAGACAGTTCTAGTTTGGCATTTTCTTTAGCCAGCGATGATTTAAACACAGATCCTCTCTGGTCTATCAGGGTGGACTGGCAGACAGAGGTCCAGCAAAAGTGCTGAACACCAGGGGAGAGTAGGATGAAGACCCAGGGGTCGACGATGGAGTTGACGGAGATGAAGCGGAGAGCAATCAGGTCTGAGGGGTGATCATTCTCGCCATTGTAGTTGATGTACACTCGAATCTGAGGGAGGAAAGAGGAAGCAAGGAGTGAGGATAGAGAGATTATGAAGATTCCAAGGTACAATCTCAAAGCGAACATCATGAGAGAAAGACACACCACAGCTAGCATCCTGGTTCCAAATCAAACATTAAGCCTTTAATAGTAAACCATCACATAAAGACAGTTTGATATAGGGGGCTGAATTTGACTTAATTTTAATTTAATGCTGCCTGCATGTGGAAGGAGTTTGGAATCATCTTGACAGTGAACAGTGCAAAAGCCAGCCAACATCCAAAGAAGAAATTACAAGAAAGCCAATGTTGTAGAATAAAAGTGGTAAAAAAATACTACAAATGTTCATATTTCATGTTTTTGCATTATTGCTCTAGCTAGCAAAATCACATCCGCTTATACTAGCCCATTTATTTATTTATCTATGCAGAATCTGTGGCTCTACTATATATTGATTATTTTGATTATTGAGGAAATACTGTTGGGACATCTAAGAAACTGGAGACTTTTTCTTTGTCTCTTCCAGCGAGATTAGCATGATAGCAATCAATCCAACGGCGAAAATGTTGCTGGCGAGTGGACTAGTGCGAGTGCTGTAAATTTTTAAAAAGGTGGAGAAATGGTCTCCACTTACACAAGAGGCTGAGGATAGAAGCCCAGATCTAAACTAGATTACATAATAAACAATGATAATTTGGGCTCAGTTTATCTTACAACCTGATCTCATAATGCATAGTTTTAATTGTTTCGGTTTTAGTCTGCATAACTGATTTCTCAAAAATAAATAGCACTACAATTTATCCCTAGTAATGCGCACACAAGATATTTTTACTAACTAATGTTCTACATCAGGAAGAATATTTAAATTTCTTGCAACTCCCAAATATGGGCTCTCATGCTTACAGCCATTCACTCAGTTTACAGACAAAAATAACAATAAAAGGAAAGTATGCTTACAGTTTTTTAGCTCATCCTACCAATAATTCAAGAAATCTCCACCATTTTCAAAGCACATAGATACTTCGGGCCGTTTGGATAAACAGACCAAATATTAAAAATGAAACTCCGTACTTTCTAACCTAAAAACCAAACTAAAATCACACTCTAACTACTCTTGTGGTAGTTCATGATGTACTCGTGTCCCCCCGTGTTTTAGGACATAAATTTTCCTCTTTTTTTTTTATGTTCCAGGATATAAAGTTCCCTCCTTTAACTTTGTTTGCATGAAAAATATTTCTCAGGCCAATCACATATCTACTGATATAGTTATGTACTTGGTTAGGGTTAGGTAATAATAAGCAGTTTGGTTAGCTGTACATGGTCTGGATAAAAATCCTCTCTAATGAGTCTCAAACATATGATCTGCAGGTAGGAAACATGCTTCCAACTGAAGCACCTTTTAAACTCGACTGAGTTCAAATTCAGATCTTTTCCGTTTTTGTAAGCTCACCATATGATTTTCATCTGCCTCGGTCTACAACCTCCAACCTTGTTCAAAAGACAAAATCAAAGAAAGGTAGTAGAAAAATTGATGTATTATAAAGTACTTGAGCTTTTAAATACAGCTGCTTTCATTAGCACCCCTTAGGCCAAGAATGAGCATCAAATTACACTAATTAGTTCCTCCTTTGCAGCTGGAATGTCAGTGAAATCAGCCACTGCATTTATTGGCAGGAAGAAGCAGTAAATTCCCTCAGCACATAAACATAAGGTTGAGAACCAGCATGTTAATACAATCCATGGAAGCTGTGACTAGTCTGCAGGTTTAGAAATGACTGCTACTCTCTCTCGGGGATCGAGGGGAACAATATACAGTTAAAAGGATCAAATAACAACGGACAATAACCTCCTAATATTTTACATGCTCGCTGTATTCCCTAACAGTGCTTCTCTTATTCACTTCCTGTCCTCCACCCACCCTTTTCTCTTTCTCTGAAATTCTTTTTTTATTGCTATCTGCAAGTTTTTATTTAGCGCTTTCTCTTTTGCATTCAACTCTACATTTGTGTCGGCACCTATGAGAGCACTCAATTTATCACCTGGAAATAAGGAGTAATTTGCATGAAAAATTTGCAAGAAAAATCAGCATGTATTTCAAAAATACAAATGATGAAGGAACAATGTGAACAACCTTGGAATAAAACACAAAATGTGCCTTTTGCGTGTTCTGCTCTTTAAGTGCAAACTCCAGTGCCATTTTAAACAAAGCCAGATGGGATCATTACTCTGATCAGTGACAGCCTTCACCATGTGTGAGAAACGAGAATGCGAGGAGACAGAAGTCAGACTTTCACCGTGAGCCCACGTTTCTCTCACAGCACCAACAGGAAGCGTTGTTGTGAGTCTTTGAGGGTATTGATCAGAGAACTAATGTCATCTGTTTTAGTTTAATTTCGAAGAGCAAAATGTTACACAGCCACAGTGTATGCTGAGCAGATACTGCTCAGCATACACTGAGTCAGAGGTGATGACATTATTAATTTTGCCCTCATGATATCGTGTTACTTATTAATGTTGGCTAGCGTTTTCAAATTTTAATGCGATCACAGATAACCACATCATCTGTCCACGATTTCATATCCGCAGAAAAATGTAATATGATCTTGCCATGTGGCTGTGTGTATTTGATATCCTGACTGTGGTCTCACATTACAATCTGGACACCCAAGAGTATATACAGTATATCATTGTGTCCTTGGGAATCTCACAATCATTTTGCAAACATGAAAAACCTTAAATATTTATTCAAGCCCCACCTTCTTGAGCTACAGTCATTATTAGAGAACTGCTCAGTGATGACAGTCACAACATCAGATCTTATCAGTGAAAAGGGTAGCAGTTTTATCACTTTAAAATACACTTGGCTTGAATGCTAACGTATGACTCTACTTTGAAGGCAAACCTCCATCTTCAATGTGTGCTGCACTTGATAATTTGCACTAACATTCGGCTAGTATTTGCAGGCCAACATGAAAAACTACAGGCAGCTATGGCAATCTGCTAGGAACCAAAGCAATGACTAGGAAGCTTTTGGTGCAACTACTTCTTTGCATCCAACTTCACCCAAGCGACCGCCAAAAACCAGCGAGCGGTGGTAAAAAGGCTGATGACTCAGCCACTTAAAATTGTTGCTGCATAATAGCTGAACATGACTGACATGAAGATGCAGTCTGTCCAACAGAATCACCAACTTTTTTTCTATTAAAAAAATACAGAATAAGTTTGCATCTAAATGACGCCATCAAGTCACCATAATCATACACCCTAACTAACAGCTTTGCATGGTAAAATTAGCAGTTTTGTCAATGTTGTCTGGTGGAGTTCAAGAGTTTGACTTCTTGTTAAGAAGCACCACCTGAAACCAGGAAAAGCACTGAAAATGTTCAACATATAACATACATTTAAACTGATATCAACACATGTAAGTTTACTTTCTTGCTAGAAGGCAATACTGCATCGTTGATGGTGTTAAAAAAGACTACTATGGGTAACATGTAATTAAAGCGGATTATCCCCAACTAAGTGAAAACAATTTACTCAGAGAATATGATAAAAATCTTTAAATGGTTCTATGGACTGAAAAAAGGCAACCCAGTTCATCAAATACATATTTTATTTTATGTCTCTCCAGTAAAAATAAAACCACCAAAATTTGACTCTTCATGTATTTGGAATTTAGCAAACTTACAAATTTAGTAGGGGAACAAATAATTATTTCCCCCACTGCGTTCTACTGTAGCCCAAGTAGATTTCCTTCCTCCCTCATGTCCCTGTTTACCCTCGCTGTACCAAAAGTCATGCATTTCACTGAGTTGCCTGTTGAGGCAGTGAAGAAACCTGATCTCAGTGTCTTGTACCTGCCTACAGAATTCTACATCTGGCTGCAGTTGTCTGATAGTTGATTCTCATTAACACAATTAGAAGCTGTCAAAATGTTCAGTTTTACGGCATCCTGTGATGATTACGCTCCTCATTAGTGTTAAAGACATTTTTTTAAAAGTCCTGTGTATGAATAGCTTATGTTACAAAAGCACTAGAAATTTTAAGTGAGTGGATGTGTGACAATTTGAGGGATTTACATAACGATCAAACAATAACTGTTAAATTAATAATACTCCTTGAGGAACACTCTCTGAAGGGCTCTGCTTGTAAGAACACGGTTCATAAAGTGGCTTCCGCCTTGGCGTCGTCTGCTTTTTATATTGTGGCTGATATTAAGTTAAGTATAATGCACAACTTGGCAGACACTGCAGAGCTGAAGGTTATGACTCCGTATTTCAGGTCAGAGCTGAGAAGCAACAGCACACGGGATGGCACTTTAGCACATAACCGATGTCTGCAACTAAGTGCATGGCATCATATTCTGCTGGGAAAGCTACTCATTTAGCATTTAAAGAACAAAGTGACGCTTAGGAAATCAAATGTTTCTCATATGTCTACTTTGTAAACATGCTATGCTAGTCAGAAATATCATATAACAAAGTCTAACAACATAGAGGTTTTGTTTTTGGTGTTTTACTACCATCCCCTGAGCAATCATCTGTGATGTTGTTACAAGTGACATTTCTAATTGCACTTGGAAAGACAGATACTCATGATCTTCTCATTACAGCCTGAATCCAAATTGCTTTCTGATGACATTACTGATAAAATCTTAAAGGTTGCTTCCTGTTACCAAGCATACTGCAAGTGAAGCTTGCTGTTTGGAATGATAACTTGACCTTAAAACATAACTTCTATTTGATTGGGGGGTCGGGGGGGG